TATCTTTATTGAACTATGGATTTAAAGGTGAACCATTCACGGAAAATTTGTATCTAATTCAAAATTAAATGTGATTTGGATTCGTGTGATTTAAAAATTACTCATTGAGATTCATATTCACAAACTTTATGTAAATGAAATCTCACATCAATATTTTTATTGAAATGTTGATTACATTATGTGGATTAATGTTATTTACACACACTTTTTTCCCACTCAAATTTCAGGGATCTTTGCAATTATTTAAAAAATATTTTTGCGCATAAAATTTTTGGATTCCTTATTTTCTACTTTTTTACCAAACTTATCTCTGTAGTATGAACCAATATTAAGTTCTATAAAAATTAAATACTTTTAAAAGAATCTGGGATTTTCAAACAAATTTCACCAAAATGAGATGGCGAAGAAAGGGTTGAAGCTAGTTACCAAGAGCAACGAGTGCAGAAAGTTTTCTAAGTGAGATTTTTGTGTTCGCAGGAAGGTTTTCTATTTCATCCAAGTCTGCTTATCAGCCATTTTGTTACAGAAATACCTTATGATAAATATAAACTGTTCATGTTTTTGTATTCTGAAGATGAAAACAAAACTACGAAAATTTTAAATTACACCTCTATAAATGCCTAGCTCGATAACTGCTTTCCATTAGGAGAGACATACAATAGTGTAGATATAAAATCTCCTCGATGACTTATTTTCAATAGTATTATTAGAGAAGTTGAGAATAAGTTAAAGATACTATTATACTAATTTATTTAAAAAAAATTTTTTTATTGACTCTAGGAATAAGGAAGTAATTTTATAAATATTTGTGCATTTCAACTTAATGAAATAGTAAATCTTTGACTAATTTTCACTCTTTGGCACTCTTATATTTTAATATCAGTATGCAACATTTACATAACATATTTAAGTTGATATATTTATTGTTTGTAACTTATTTCATATATATTCCTAAAAAAAGTCAGACACTTCTTGGGAATGCATGTCCAGTTGGAGCCTGGTGCCTATTGAATGGTACAAGATTTTACCAAAATAGTTAAATTTCATCAGAGAGTTCTTCACTTAGATAGGGCTGTCTAAAAATTATTTAAGATGCAATAAAATTAAAAGTATTCTTGTAATTTTGATTAAATAATCAAATACAGTAAACGTTACTAAAGATTTCAATTTAGGTTTTCACTTCAGAATGATGTTGCTATTTACAAATTATTTAAGACATAAAAAAGGAAAAGAATCGTACCAATTCTGATATTACAAATCAATTACTGTATAATATAATGCATTCTTAAAAATTTCTAATTAGACTTATAAATAAAATGTCATTATACTCATCAATATAAAATAACAGAATTTTTTTTAAATGAAAACGATACTCGAAACGAAGGTGTGATATTTTTAATATGCCTTTTTAGTATAGCACAATAAGAAAATGTCATATAGATATAAATAAAATATGAATTTAACTATTATTGTCAAGTGTTATTTTTTAATTCTAATTCTATGAGAGAAACCAAGTTTGTCAGTTACTACATTCATCTAAATGGTTGATTATATATAGAGTTTAAGAAATTTGTTTAAAAAATATTGGTATATCTTTCTACTAAACCAAAAAATAAACATACATTGAATGAATAAACTGAAATTTTAATAATCAAGAACTTACAGTGAACTTTCCGACAATTAAGGAATAAACTCCTTTATTAACAAACCATAAGTTGTGTATGTTTTAAAAATAAAGAGAAGCTTCAAATTCTCTAATATTATAGCATAATAAGTAAGGTTGGTACAATTTCTTTTCAGGAACCATAAAAACTTTTACAATGACAAATCATTAATAGCCTTATTAGTTAATGAGATTTTCTCATGCTATCCGAAATGGAGTTGTACCATAAATTGTGCATTAGTTTTTGTACAGAAATTAAAAAAAAAAATCAATACACAGTATCGTTAGATTTAATTAAGAATTAAACGTAAAAGATAAATGAATTTTTAAAGTTCTAAACTGCAATGGAATTCTCTATAATTAAGTAAGAAGTTCCTTTTATGACAGTCTGTGAAATAATTTCTTTACTTATACATAGCCCAAAAAAATTTGAGCACATTGAAACCATGCATAAAAAAAAAAAAAAATTACATTATAGTTAATCAGACTCTGAAGCTTTTGCATCACTGTCACAGCTTCTTTTTCTTAGAATTTCAGGTCCTTCCTTTTTAGAAGAGGAGCGAGAAATTTCTTTATCACTCTCTTTAGCCTGAGATCGTCTTGGACTTCTAGAAATTGATCGTTTAGCAGGACTTCTTGAAACAGAGCGTTTTCTCGATCTCAATTTTTTATCCCTGTGAGAACGATGTCTTGAAGCAGGTGACTCAGAGCGCTTCGACGAACGCCTGCTAGATTTACGAGGTGACCTAGATCTAGGTCGTGACACAGACTTTTTGCCACGATTCCGCGCATTTTCAATGCTTGATGAACTTTCGGATGAAGAATACCGCCTCCTTATTTTTCTCACAGGAGAACGAGATCGTTTACGATCTCTTGACCTCGATCTGGGCTTTCTCGAAGACTTTCCGGACCTGCTGGCTACTCTACTAGGACTTCTCGACCTTGATCGACTTTTAGTCTTATCTCTTGTTTTTATTTTTGATTCAGCATCCTCTTTAACCACAGTTAAAATATTTTCATTTGGTGATTTTTCAGATACAGCTACTTCAATTTCTTTTTTATCAATTTCCATATTCTCAGGTTGTTCACTTTCTATATTTTCAAACTTAATCTCAATTTTAGGACCAATCTTTTCCTCTACAGGGTAGCTTGTAATTGGACTACCCACTGACCTTGCTGGTGATGTAGACTTCATTTCAATGTCTGGGATGCACTTATCATCTTCTGCTTTTTTATCACTTTCTTCACCTAAAAGTGGAAGTTTAGATGCATCTGG